TGGAGAACTGGATGTCTTAAATAGTGAGCAGATGAGGAAAACAGCAAGGAAAAGATAGAATCGTACAGTGCTTGAAGGGTCTCACTGGGGAGATTTGAGTTTGAACTTCAAAACAGTGGGATGCCAGAGAGGTCCACAACCGAAGGACTGAGGGAAGTTACCATTGTATTCACTGCATTTATTCGTGGCATGGGCAACTTCCTTTGACCTCCCCCAACACACTTCCTGCCATGAAACAGATAAAATCTAGAAAGCATTTCGTGTGCTGAACACCCAGTCAACTCACTTAGTAGCTAATCTACAAATTTCTTTGGCCAAGGTTGTCTGGGTCCCAAAGGGACTCAGTGTAGCTACAGAAGTGACTCCAGCCATGAACATTTCACGTTAAAACCTGAACAGCCGGTACACGATAGCAATACTTAAAGCTGTGCTGACATAGTCTGAAGGTCAGAAGGAAGTCATAAGTGAAAGGTTTGTCATCTTATTTCCCCTGCCAGGGACCCGAGGGTCTGCCTCACCCCTACACCTCCCTAGATAACTTCTGTTATTCCCTCCTAATGAGACGCCCGTCCTAATACTAGGTTTCTGGTTTTCCACATAATTTTTAAAACCTAGGCATCCCTTCTTCCAGGCATCACCCACTGACCACTTGCAAGGGACCCTGCAGTCAGACCTCTTGACAGACCAGACTTTCAAAGCATCACGGTCGTTGTCTGGATTTATTTTTATACTTCCTTGGGGACTTGTATGGAATGAGTGATAGAGTGAAAAGATCAAGAGAAAATTCCTCAAGGATTAAGTGTGGGATACTTGTCCCAGCTCCTGAAGAAGATGTGGTTTATTTTTACTTCCTTTGTGTATCTGTTTCTTCCCATGTCTCCCCCCTTTCTGTCCTTCCTTCTATTTCTCTTTCCTCTGTTGGAACACACTTTTCCCCCTTTAGTTTCCCTTCTTCCTAACTAGATTCTAGTCGGTAGTGGCTGTGGCTTTTGTTTGTCACATGCTGGGCTCTGTGCACAGTGATGTTTATATGTCACCTAGTAGCACTCGGTTAGCTGAGTCCCAGTCTCTCCATCCACTTGTGGATGAGGGCAGTAGCGCACAGACCGAACTATTTGTTTAAGCTCAGCAGGTAACGACAGGAATTTGAAGTCTGAATAAACCCTATACCTGTGTTCTCTTAACGAGTAGTTACATGGCTTCTTTTTCTCCATTTCCAACTTCCCCTTCTGATTTTCATTTTTTAAGATTTATTCTATTTTTAGTTATGTGTGCATGTGGATGCAGATGTCCACAAGAAGTCAGAAGAGAGTCCTAGAACACTTGGGTTGTGAGCCCCCATGTGGGTCCTAGAAAATGAACCTGGGTCCTCTGCAGGAGCAACAAGTGCTCTTAACCACTGAGCCACTTCTCTGGCTCCGTCTGTCTGGGCTGTTCAGCTTGCTAACAGGACACAGGCAAGGAACAAGCGATTGGCTTGCCCTTGGGCAGAGAACACCGGTGCCTCTTATTCCTCTTTTGCTCAGTTAAGACCTACTGAGCACCTACTTTGGGCCAGTCTCTGGAGGACAGAAGAAAAGATGTTATCTGTTCTCAAAATCCCCCCACTGGGGAGAAGGTAATAAGTGCTGGGTGGAGAATGAGTATCCTGAGCATCGCCAAGGTAGCTGAGGAGGGAGCAGGGAGACCTATGGAAAGCAATGGCGTGGGGAATGGCTTTCAGCTTTGGGTGCAAGGGTTTGGAAGAAGTAGCTGGAAGGAGGAGGGTGCCTTAGAGTTTTCATTGCTGTGAAGAGACCCTGTAACCAAGGCAACCCTTACAAAAGAAAGCATTTAATTGGAGGCTTGCTTACAGTGTCTGAGGATTAGTCCATGATCACCAGGGTGGGAAGAAGACAGGCAGGGCACTAGAGCAGCAGCTGAGGGCTCGACATTCTCATCATCAGGCAGCAGGGGTAGAGACTGGCCCTGGTGTGGGCTTTTGAAACCCACAAAACCTATTCCCAGGGACCTACCTCCTCGAGCCAAGGCCACACCTTCAACAACAAGGCCACACCTTCAACAAGGCCACACCTCCAACAACAAGGCCACACCTCCTAATCGGTCCCAAACTGTTCCACTAACTGGGGACCAAGCATTCGAATGTATGAGACTAGGGGGGTCATTCTCATTCAAACCATCACAGCAAGCATCTGGGAATCCAGTGGGACTTGGAATGGATGGACAAAGGACATTTGTACAACTTTTTGTAAGCAGATCTCTTAGCGAATGGAGCCACAGTTGCAATGGCTGTTCCATATCGCGGACATGAAGGAGATCAGCATTGTCATATTGCCTGAAGCTTATGGGAATTGGAAGCGGGGGCCTACCGAGAACCCGCGCTGCCTTTAAAGTGACCCAGATGTGGTCTGGGTTGCTGTCTTTCCACACGGCTGCACCGCAGCTGACGCTGATCGGTAGAAATGCCTCTGGAGAAGCGGAACTTGCCACCCCCACCATTTCTCTTTATCGCCTCCTCCACCTCAGCTTGCCTTTTGGAGTCATAAAAACTTTCTGCCATTCAAAACACATGGGACGTTTACGGTGTGAAGTTGGGTCCATCACATTCTTCACCCCGCTGGATCCTCCAGGTCCTCTGGTGGCGCAACCTCCCCCTTGAATGAAAGGAAACAGATTCAGTTAAGGAAGTGCTGAGAGACACATGGCAGACCTCAAGCCTAGTTTCCCAACTCCAGGCATAGGGCCTGGCCTGCTGGCACGAGAATCATCTGAAGTGCTTGCTGCAAATCCAGATTCCTAAGAGGCCACCCCTTTAGATGTAAGGATGGAATAGAGATGGTTGGGTTGGAAAAGGAGCTGACATACACTTACTTTTCAGGAGTTAACTTTACTAGGAGAAAGGTTCTTGACACCATGATTGGGCCTTGAGGTGAGGGAGCATTACAAAGGACTGGGCTAGAGAAACAGCTCAAGGGGCAGAGCATTGGCTTCCCTTCCAGAGGACCCAGGTTCAATTCCCAGCACCCCTATGGTGGCTCACAACTGTCTGTGACCCCAGTCCCAGGGGAGATGATGCCCTCTTCTGGCTTCTGCAGGCATTGCATACACATGGTGCTTAAGCATATAGGCAAAACACCCATACATACATACATACAGACAGACAGACAGACAGACAGAAGGAAGGAAAAGAACAGGACAATCATACAAACAACAAAACAAGGGTTTAAAGGGTACAACCCAAATACAAGCCTCATTAATGGAGGGGCTGGAGAGATGGCTCAGTGGTTAAGAACACTTGCTGTTCTTGCAGAGGACCCAGGTTCAGTTCCCAGCACCCACATGGAAGCTTATAGCCATCCATAACTCCAGTTCCAGGTGATCCAGTGCCCTGTTCTTGCCTCCTCAGGTACCAGGAGCACATATGATGCTCATATTTATACATGCAGACAAAAACACTCATAGACATAAAGTAAAAATAAATCATGTTTTAAAAGAAAGGAATGTAAGGTAGCCATTATGATAGACTGAGAGTGAAGGAGGCCCAGAAGAAAAAGCCCTCAGAGAAGAGAAATCCCTTAACAAAGGAGGAGTCTGGTTTTTATATCCTAATGGGGATGGTGAGACCTTTCCTATTACATGGTCTAGTTCAGCATAATGTATGTGACAGAGAATATGGAGGAGCCAGGTACAGGTTAAAACCATTAATTAGGGGCCTGCTGTTAGGGCACAAAACGAGTCTTTTTAACTCTCCATCCTAGGGATGGGATGGGATGGGATCTGGGCCTCTTAGAGACTGATGTCTTCAAGGGGCAGGCTGTGACCTTACACACTTCACCTTCTGAAGTAGAATGTCTGGGGACAAGACACGGACTCTACATTGCAACACACACCTTACAAGATTCCTAGATCCTTCATGTGGATGCCATGACTGACTTGGTTTAGGACTTCCTCTCTAACTTTTGAATGGGAGTGTACTTTTCGATACATTTGGCTTTAAGGAAATTACACTGTCCTCATTTTTAAGGTTATTTGTTTATTTTGTATGTGTACACATGCATGTATGTGTGTGTGTGTGTTTGCATGAATTCACGTGCACAGCATGCATGCAGCAGCCCATGAGACCAGGATAACCCAAAATTGGAGTTTCGGGAAGTTGTGAGCTGCTGTGTGGGTGTAGAAACCTGGGTCCTCTGCAGCAGCAGCAGCCAGTGCTCTTAACTGATGAACTGTCTCTCTTGCCCCGCCCTCATCCAACTGATGTTTTTAAAAAGTAAATTGCTAAATCCACCCCAGCCCCGTTCCCTTCTCTTCAGTTCCTACCTTTTATCCCCACTACTACTCCCTCCAGACTTCATCTGCCCTTTCTTTGACTAAGTCAATCCATTTAGTACCGCCAGCGTGTGCACGGGGCAGGGCCATCTGCTGCAGGACGGGGAGTTCTCGGGGCAAAGATCTGAAGAGAACCGTCTCTCTCTTGCCCAGCAGCCATCAGTTGCCAATACCTCCTCAGCTAGGGGTGGGACTTCATGACTCCCATCCCCACCCAAGCCTGGACTTTGTCTTGTGCATGAAACCACAGCCTCTGTGAGTCCATGTGTGCAAAAGTGGGTCAGATCGACTCTGTTTAAGGACCTAACTCCAGATGCCCAGGTCACATCACAAAAACCCAAACCGTCTTTAATTAGTAGATGGTATTCTTTAGACATATAAAATTTATTTTAAACTATCCACAAATCATTTTTTTTTCTTTTGAGACAGGTTCATGTGTAGCCCAGCTAGTCTCTAACTTTTTATGAGACCACAGGAAGCTTGAACTCGTGATCCTCCTGCATCTGTTTCCCAAGTGCTAGTATTACAGGTGTGCACCATTATACCCAGCAAAGGTGTCACTTTCTTAAAGAACACAGTGGTATGAATCAACGGCCCAGAGCATGATGGGGCCTTCTAAACCTCTTGAAACACCCTTCACAGACATCTTTTTCTCTCTGCTCTGTTTGCAGAAGGTTCGGAATCAGTCTCCTAGACTTAGCAAGATGGGTGACTGGAGCTTCCTGGGGGAGTTCCTGGAGGAGGTCCACAAGCACTCCACAGTCATCGGCAAGGTCTGGCTCACCGTCCTGTTCATTTTCCGAATGCTGGTCCTGGGCACTGCTGCTGAGTCCTCCTGGGGAGATGAGCAGGCTGATTTCCGGTGCGATACCATTCAGCCTGGTTGCCAGAATGTCTGCTACGATCAAGCCTTCCCCATCTCTCACATTCGCTATTGGGTACTGCAGATCATCTTCGTGTCCACGCCGTCTCTGGTCTACATGGGCCACGCCATGCACACAGTGCGCATGCAGGAAAAGCAGAAGCTGCGGGATGCCGAGAAAGCCAAAGAGGCCCGTGGCACGGGTGCCTATGAGTACCCGGTGGCCGAGAAGGCAGAGCTGTCCTGCTGGAAGGAAGTGGAGGGGAAGATTGTCCTCCAGGGCACTCTACTCAACACCTATGTCTGCACCATCCTGATCCGCACCACCATGGAGGTGGCCTTCATCGTGGGCCAGTACCTCCTCTACGGGGTCTTCCTGGACACCCTGCATGTCTGCCGCAGGAGTCCCTGTCCTCACCCAGTCAATTGCTATGTCTCGCGGCCCACCGAGAAGAACGTCTTCATTGTCTTTATGCTGGCTGTGGCTGCACTGTCTCTCTTTCTCAGCCTGGCTGAGCTCTACCACCTGGCCTGGAAGAAGATCCGACAGCGCTTTGTCAAGCCCCGCCAGGGAACGGATAAGCACCATTTTCTTGGCCCCTCCACCAGCCTAGTCCAGAGCCTCACTCCTCCCCCTGACTTCCAGCAGTGCCTGAAGAACAGCCCTGACGAGAAATTCTTAGGTGACTTCAGTCATAACATGGGTTCCCGGAAGAACGCAGACACTCTAGCTACGGAGGAAGCGCCGGACCAGGAGCATATTTCTGGGGAGGGTTTCATCCACATGCGGTATGGCCAGAAGCCCGAGGAGCCCAGTGGAGCCTCTCCAGGCCACCACCGCCTTCCCCCGAGCTACCATGGTGACAAGCGCCGCCTTAGCAAGGCCAGCAGCAAAGCAAGGTCAGATGACCTGTCAGTGTGACCCTCTGAGGGAAGGCCCGTCCCAGAAAGGATCTCAGGAGGCTGCTGGCAGGGAGAAGCAGTCTCTTATAACAGCATCATCTTCTTCTCAGCACTGCTGTGCTCCTTCTGACCCCAGGTCTGGATGGCGTTGATCATCAGTTCTCAAAAATACAGTTTGAGAGTGTTCTCAAAGACAGGGCTAGTCCTCAGGTCCTGTCCCTCTTCATCCTCTACCAGTATACACAGTGAAGGCTTTCACATGATTTACTGGATAGGGTGGAGGCAGGGACGGAAACCATGGCAAAATCTGGCCTGGGAAGGGCAGACCAACACCAGCAACATACCAGATAGGACCTCCAAGTCTTGGCTTCTTTGGCACTATGTACACTTTTTTTTTTTTTTTTTTTTAAGATCCCAAGGTTCTCAGCCAATGGAGAGTATTCATCAGGCAATTTACATTGTATCATTCCCTTGAATTTATTGTTGCCATGGACCATACCTCGGAGTGGAGGTGAGGTAGCTGTGGGCTGCCCTAGGCTACATGTCCCTCCTCCCAGTCTTAAGGGGCTATCCTTGGACCTTGGCCAGCATCGGCTTTACAAGTGCCTTGGACTGTGCCTTTGGTACACATCTCATCCTCGTGATGTCGTAGCCTTTCTGCCAGGAGAGACACCCGAGCACAAGGGTGCCAGGACCTCTAGGGGTTCACTGTACACACAAGTGTCACTGGAATTGCCACCACCTGTCATCCTGCAGTCCTTTACAGTTCAACCTGATGATAGAAACCATCCTTGCCTACCTCTGCGGCTGTTCAACCAGGGTTCCTCCAAAACCTTGGTTAACAAGAATGTCCGAGAAGCCACCATCCTCTCTTGAATCCTAGCCAGGTTACCAGCCACCAAGTTCAGCGGAATTTTCCCAGGATTTAGTGAAACAAAGAAGCATTGTGCTTCTTGGGTTCTCCTGGGAAAAAACAATTCTGCTGTGAAGATGAAAATTTAAAAAAAAAAAAAAATGAGAGACGACCCTGAAGAGCCGGTTTCCCTCCTATACGCGTCTTCCACTGTTCAAGTGCCAAGAGGCCCCAGACCTCTCTCTTAGAGGCATCAAGGGCACCGGGAAGAAGGAGGGGATCTCCAGTTGTTTTTGGCAAGGCCCTTATTTAAATTCCCATGTTTCCTTGGTACCCCTCGGAAGACTACCAACCAGGGAAGGACTGCAGAAAAGCCCTGCCTTCCTCAGGATCTAGCCTGGGGTCTCCACTGATTAGATCCATAATAGGTGTCTTCCATTTTTTTTTATGCAGATGAAAGATGCTCAGAATCAGACACCGAGACTCAGAGACACATTGCTACATTAAAATAGATTTGTGTGTGTGCATGCTCACCCGTGTGTGTGTGTGTGTGTGTGTGTATGTGTATATGTGTGTGTACATATGCATATGTATGTGTGTGCATATGCATGTGTATGTGTGTGTCCATATGCATATGTATGTATGTATGTGCACATGCATGTATATGTGTGTGCACATGCATGTGTATGTGTGGGCACATTCATGTGTGTGTGCGTGTGTGTGTGTGTGTGTGTGTGTGTGTGTGTGTGTGTGTGTTGACAGCATGGGGAAGAAAAGTCCTAAAGAACGTAAGGAAAGGTGCAGAGAAGCTTGGCTCTTCCCGCCTCCCTTTCAGCTGTCTGGCAGGAGGTCTGAGCTTACATCTTAAGCAGCCTAAGGGACAGGCATGAGAAGTCAGAACAGGCAGGTGAAGGTTCAGAGGTCATTCTCATCCCCTGACCCATTTCTGGGTCCCTCTGCTGGCATTTGGATGTTACTGATGGGTAGAAAGAAAGGCTTGGGCAGGAAGGGACAGGGTACTTGGGAAAGCACATGGGATGTTCCAGCCCTCAACACGTTTCATCAGTTGCCGACACAGGCATTACGATTCTCTGTTCTTCTAGTTACCGGCTGTGTTTATTTTCTGAAATGAGTGTTTTTGAATTAGAAAATCTAAGGCCAGCCTTTGATGGTGAGGTCTTCAGAAGGGAGAAAGGAACTAATATGTGTAACTTGTTTAAATAAAACCTGCCTCTACACGTTAACTCTGGTTTGTGTGTCCTTTGGGCTGTGCCTTTAAGAGGGTGGCAGACTTGCTGGGGAAGGGAGAGCATGAAGTCCCAGCTGCTGATTTACATCTGGCCTGCTGTGAGCTACTACTACACATCTGAGGCTTTGTTGCTCACCTGTAAATTGGATCTAGTGATATCTACTCCATTAGGCTGTGAAGTGAGAGACTGTTTGGGAGGAGAAGAGCAGATTATTTCAGACAGGACAGTTTGCAATTAAGTGCTAACTGTTGTTATTATTTTCAGTACAGAGTGGCTGAGAACCCAGAGTGTTAAAGCATGGGTCGAGAATGTCCCCCTTTAGAGTTCATATCGTGGTCTACCAAAGGTGAACAAATGAACTCATACAAAGAAAACAATTGGGGCCCCCAGGAGATTGCTCAATGGATAAAAGCACTTGATCACAAACATGAGGACATGAGTTCAAACCCCCAGCACCTGCATAAAAAGCTAGGCATTGTTGCATGAATCCTAAATGGTCTTATAATAAAAACCCGGAGCCAGATATTGCGGTAAATGCTGAAAGATCAGAGAGACAAAGGAACAAGCCACAGCCACTCCTCACCTTGCCAACTCCAGGGGTCCTCTGAATGAATGCCCATGAGTCCTCAGCCAAAAAGACTCAAGTAAACTTCTGTCTCTTCCCACCTTATATTCCTCTCTCCACCCAGCCATATCACTTCCTGTCTCAACCTTCCTAGTGCTGGGATTAAAGGCGTGTGACTCTCAAGTACTGGAATTAAAGGTGTGTGCCACCACTGCCTGGCTGTTTTTCTTTTAGACTGGATTAATCTCGTGTACTTCAGGGTGGCTTTGAACTCACAGAGATCCAGATGGATCTCTGCCTCCTGAGTGCTAGGATTAAAGGTGTGTGCCTACACTGCCTGACCTCTGTAGCTGGCTCTGTCCCCTGATCTTCAAGCAAGTATTATTAGAGTATAACAAAACATCACCATAAGGCATGGCCATTGGCTTGTAAATCTAGCACTGTGGGGGTGGAAACAGAAGGTCACTAGCTGCCAGCCTATCTCTGGGTTCAGGGAACAGAGGGTGAGAGGGTAGGATATCTGATGTCCTCCTCTGGCCTGTTTGTATGTGTGTGCACCACACACTCACTCATATACCACACAGTCATATACTGTGGTGGTTTGAAAAAAAAATGGCCCCCAAAGGGAGTAGCACTATTAGGAGGTGTGGCCTTGTTGGAGGAAGTGTCACTGTGGGGATGGGCTTTGAGGTCTCATATATGCTCAAGATACCATCCAGTGTCACAGACCACTTCCTGTTGCCTGCAAGATGTTGCATCTCAGCTTCTTCTCCAGCACCATGTCTGCCTATCTGCCACCATGTCCTGCCATGACAACAATGGACTGAACCTCTGAACTGTAAGTGAGCCCCCTCAGTTAAATGCTTCCCTTTGTAAGAGTTGCCATGGTCATGGTGTCTCTTCACAGCAATAGAAACCCTAACTAAGACACACATACCTAACTCCATACACACATATGCACTACATACTCACACACATACAACACATACTCTACACACATATATCCCACATACACACACACACACACACACACACCAGTCATGTACATAATCCACATACATGTACTCACACATATCCACACATTCACTCACTCATACACGTGTACCAAATATATATACATACACATACCCACTCACACCACACACTCACACCCTGATACAATTAGAATATTAATTTGTATTGATTCTAAGAACCAAAAGTCCCCAGAATGTGATACTAACAAATGTACATGGGAGAGACCAGACCTGGACTTTGGCTGGTGACAGTTCTGCTTTGGAAAGTGCTTCCCCTTGTAAGCATGAGGACCTGAGTTCTAGCCACAGATCCTATATTTTAAAGGCTAAAAATGGGGCATGGTGGCATGTGCTCGCGATCCAAGCACTGCGGAGGTGGAAGCAGACAGATCCCTGGGGCCCACCAGCCAGCCGACCAAGCCTACGTGGCAAGCTCCAGGCCAATGAGCAACCATGTCTCAGAAAACAAGGTGAACGGCTCCTGAAGAACATCTCAGGTTGTCCTCTCTCCACACATGCGCACGGGCACCTGCACGCACACCCCCACAGAGGAGGAGAAAAGAAAAGGAGAAAAGTGGGGACTGCAGAGATAACTTTGTGAAATAGTTTTAGCACCCCCTTTTATGTACATGGAGATTGAGGTACAGGAAGGTTCTCCAACAGTGGGGTGGCTTCTCACTGGCCTCTGAATGAGATCACATGTCTTTGAAAAATGGTGAAATAATTCACGCTCCAAACAAGGATCAGAGGCTGTCCTAGCCCTTTGCCACCAAATCGGCTACCGTTTCTGCAAGAGAGAATCAAAGGCCAGGGAAAAGAATCAGAAGCGCCGCCATCTTCGTTGGCTGCCGATCCTGTTTGTCACAGCAGACAAGCTCTGGGAAGAGAGCTTGCAGATTATCACAGGTGTATTGAGACAGTGTTCCCTGGCACCCATCCACAGATAAGGTGAGGTTCCAAGCCCAGCGGGGCCTGAGCAGTTCTAATGGAGAAGGACCTAGAGTACATCTCATAGCTGTATAAACATGGCTATGCATAGGATGGTTCAGACGGTGCTCAGAGCACAAAAGCCTGGATGATTTATGTAAAATCACAACCTTGTGGTTGTACTCTAAGTTTCTCTGCAGCTTCCAATGGCTCATCAATAAGAGCACAAGCTGATTAATAATGCAGTAAACACACTCTGAGTTCAGGCTCTTCAGGTCCCTTCCCTCAATTTCTTCCTTGAATGTCAGTTAAGAATTTCTACCTGGCTGGAGCAATGGCTTAGCAGTTAAGATCGCTGCTCTTGGAGAAGTTTGGTTCCTAGCACCCACACTGAGTGGCTCCCAACCAGCTGTAACTCCAGATCCAGGGGATCTGACGCTCTCTTCTGGTCTTCTCAGGCACCCACACACAGATGTGCACATATCCACACACACATACACACAGAAATAACTAATAAAATAAATCTTAAAAACGATCATTCCTAGCACTGGTGTCTCATCGCCCTGGCCAGAGAGTGTTCAATGGTTAGACGTTAGCATCACTCCTATGAGTCACAGGGTTAGTATGTCTCAGGGGTTTTTATCGACGGCAAGTGTGATGGCAGAGAGACAAATGAACGCAGGAGTAGGCACTTTGGAGGTCCTTTGAAAAACGGTTTCCATGATATATACAAGTGAGAAAAATAGTGAGTCTGAGGGGAGCTGGCAAAATAAGCCCCTTCCAGGAAATTCTAGAAGCCTTGCAGGCAGCCCTCATAGTGGCCCTCAATAGTAAACAGAACTTGCAAATGATAGATAAGCAGAAAGAACAGGTTCGTGGGCTCTCTTGGGTCACTTGATGGTCATCAGACACTGGTAGAAACTAAATTTCATCATTGTTTTCACTGGGAAGGAGAAAAACTCCCATTTAACAATTTATCTTTGTTCATTCGCTGGAAGCAGAGTCTCGTGTAGCCCAGGCTAGCCTCAAACTCTGTGTATCTGGAGATCCTCTTGAGTGCTGGGCTCACGGTTGCTTTGACCAGGCCTTGTCGCAGGCTCTAGAAATACAGCGTGGCAAAGCAGATGTGGCCCCTGCCCTTTCCAGCTTCTAACAAGGGAAGACTCCGCAGTGCAAGGGAACAAGGAGATTCTAGAATCTCCAGTCATGCTAAATACTGTGAAGGGATGAAACTGGGAGCAGAGGGAGGCTGAGGGGTGGGGCTTCTGCAGACAGAGTGAGTGCCACGTCCCTTCTGAGGATGTGGAAACTCACATTTGACAACTGAAAAGCCAGCTGCCGATGAGCCAGGTGGGGGGATCCAAATTCCTTCTAGGAAAATCCAGAACGGTTGTCCCCTATTTCAGTCAGGGCTCACAGTTTTGAAAGCGGCACCTACAACAGAGCTGTTTGGCCCCGGTTGTTGTAAAACACACCATATCTTTTCCTGGAGAAACCTCAAGGGACAGAAACCTTTTCACTGAAGCAAATGAAGAAACATTCAGAAAAGACTTGAATGAAACCAACTGAGTACCAGCATCACACTGGACAAAAAAAGTCCCACATAAGCCTGCGATGATTATTTCCACCATGTCTACTCTTATGACATCCTTGGGTCTTTGAGACTAGGCTTGTTACCTGGTGTGGGCATGGGAGAGGAGATGGGGCTGCTTCACAGGCCCAGAAGGATACCAGGACCAGCTGGCAGAAAGTGGGTAGGAAAGAGCCTACTGTGTGTTCCAGGGGAGGCTTGGCATCAGAGAAGTCAAAGCATAAGATCTCAAGCTCACAGAAAGGTGGGTAGTGGGGATGTGGGTGCATCAGGGAAGTCAGGCTGTTGAAGCTATTCAGGACACCACTCAGACAGGCATATCAGGAACATATCTCAACAGCCGGGACCACAGCCTCTGATACGGAGTTGGAGGACAGTCTCTAGACTCAGTGGAGAAGACTGATGTGGGCAAAGCTGAGCTTTCTCCTGAGGGCTGGGTCATTCACCAGGGTACCAGGACAGAGCCTCAGTGTGGTACAAGATGAAGCTGTTAGCAGAGTTACAGTAAGATGCAGGTGAATAGGGCCGTTGCCTAGAATACGGTGCTGATACCGCCAACTAATAGGGACCAAGAGTGAGAGTTCCAGGCACCTGAACAAGCCATGGTAGCAGATGGGGAGATCATTTTTATCCTGGGGTCAGCCCAATGCGACTCTAAAATCACTCCTTTACCTATAGCCCCGAGGAAGTCATAGCTTGCTAGCAAGGCTCAAGTTCCCCTATCCAAACCTTTAACCTGGCGGAATTTTCCATTACCCCTGATTCAAGGCCCTTGTGGATATAACACTTGGTAACCACGGTTTCCCCAAGGAGAAAGACCCATGTCTGAAGCCTTTCAGGAATGTTCATTTTCTTGAGTTCTGTAGCCTAGCCAAGGCTGAAGGCCCTCAGGTGTTCC